TTTCCTTGCCCGACCACCGCTCTGCCACTGCGCGCGCGCTCCTCCGCCAGCGACAGCGACGACATGCACTCGACCTAGCGCCCACGCGAAGCGGATCCCAGCGCCTGTCGCGACAGCGCATCGCGAACAGCGTTTGCAGCCAGCGGCCCANCCGCAGTCACACCCGCGCACGCCCGCCAAACCCATCTGTTTACCCAGCAGTCGCAGTCGCCATGTCGCCCACGCGCCCTTCGCTTTCCATCCAACTTCCGCCCGTCCACGAATTTCCCTACTCTCCCACCACCATGCCCAAGACGCCCGAGGCACAGCAGCACGAGGCCGAGCTGGCAGTAGACCCGCCGCCGCCTCCTCGTCCGCAGACATTCAAGGTCAAGAGGAAGCGCCCCAGCGCGCCCTTCCAGGAGCCCGCCATGCTCGACACCTCCATCATCCCGACCATTGAGATGTCCGAAGTCGAGACGCAAATGTCCAGTCCGACTCTGCAGCCCACGTCAGCACACCTACTTTTGCCTTTGCCGCTCTCCTCTGTTCGCGCTTTCACGCCTCCCAAGACTCCCGCGCCCCGGTTATGCACGCCCTTCAGCCAGTTGGACGCCGCCGCAGACGAGTGGGACTTGATTGCAAACGCCAAACCAACATACCAGCGTGCCAATTCCGTCTGTTCCTCTTTCTCCGACTCTTCCATCTCTTCATGCGGCAGCTCCGCATTCTCCATGCCGACGGGAGGCTATGACAGCCCGTCTTCCGAGACGACCGACCCGTTCATGGACGACGATTTGACGAAACAGCAAGACAAATCAAACGTCTCGCCCACAATCCCAGCAGATGCGCCGCAAACGAAGCGCATCAAGACCCGACGCCACGTTCAGTGGACGCCACAAATGGACGACCACCTGTGGATGACGTTCATGGCCTATCTCTCCGATCCCACCCTCACCCCGTTCAAAATGCTACCAGGCAGTACCCCGCCAATGGGCGTATGCGACCAGGTTGCGACCAAGGCCAGACGAACGTGGAAATCTCGCAAGGTTCTTCCGGCAAACGCAGGCTCGATCGACGCCGCATTGAGCTTGGACAGTCGCCAGCGAGAAGGTTCTCCCGACACCATCCGTCCGAGCTCGTTTCAGTCCACGCAATGCAGGTGGCCAAAGGCTGCCGCGACCAGACGTCGACTGCGAGAGCTCTGTTCGAAGCGGCCATCCATATCGGCTCACTATGCACGCATGCTGCGCACTCGTTCCCCATCACCATTTGATACATCGAGCCCACCTGCGCAGCCCGTCCAACCGGTGTCCCTTTCTTCTTCTTTCTTTGACATGCACAAGTCACTCATGACTTCAACCGCGCCATCCATGCAACCAGGTGGCGTTCTCGCACAGCTGGCCAGTGATGAGCCTCCACCAGCTCCGAGGCAGGTACGGCAGCCACGACCAGAGGGATGGTTCGATCGCATCCCCAGGTCCAAAGCTCATCAAAAGAGCGCTTCGCTGCAGTCCGAACTGCAAATCCACGTCCAAGACATGGAGAGTCGGACATCCAACGTCCTTGCGTCACCCTTCGCTGCCGACTCCGCCACTAGTCGAAGTCAATTGCTTCACAGCATGGCGACCACCAGATCACTTGGTCGTACAGAATTCAACGGCCGATCCCTGGACTCACCTTTCGACTTCAAAGTGGGAGCGCCGACAGACCGACGGTCCCGCAAACGCCGTTTCCGCTCTGACGAAGAGAAGCCTCGCCGCGGGGCACTGGAAGATGTCTTCGGTCCACCCGTTGAGCAACGGCCTATCCTTCGCAATCGTGGTTTCAGCGTCGGCACTGCTCTGAGCGGAGAACACCTTACCAATCTCTTCACGCCATCATCATCAAACGGAGTTGATCATGTCATGCTCGATGCAGCTGGGCCAGGTGACGATGCGCCCATGGGCAGTCGCTCCGCCCCGCGTCGCATGATTGAGCCGGTGCCACGTCTTCTGTCTCCATTCGTAGAGACTCCACCACCTAGTCGGCAGAGTAACACCTTCCCTCGCGTCAACCTGTTACCCACCATCACCAACCAGGCACCTTTCCACCAGCAGTTGCTTCAACTTCAGCACGAGCACGCCAGCAACATGGCCAAACGATCTTGAGATCTGCTTGGGACTTGCTCGACCTATCCAGCCATATCAGCATTGCATAAGCGCGGCGCACTCGACAACATTGCATAACCCTAGCATTACCTGTACTCTGAACACTGCATCACGCAAAGATAGCCGACACATTCTCGGCCACGACCATAACGATACAATGACATGACCATGCCCGACTCCCGATCAGCAGTCCGGAGTGAGATGACGGCAACAGCATAACTCCTCTTCTCGACATGCCTACCCCGGTTGTCCATCAATGCCTCATGACGGCAGGCATCTTGATCCTCTTCTCTTTCTTTTTCACTTTTCTTCAATTCTACACAGGAATTGGAAACGACATAATTGGCGGCGTATGTGAAGAGGAGCAGGTGAGGCCAGATCTATCTTGTTGAACGGCAATATGAGAAGAAGATTTTCGGCGGAGCTCTTCGGATGAAGCTGTTGCGGAGGTTGTCACATACTGGCGTTTTTCCGTCTTTTCCTGTTTGCTTGTATGTACTTGCCTCTTTTGGATTTCTCTTTTGTTGGGAATGCGGACACGATATGAGGATGACGAGCTCCGAGATCATGAAAGCGGTGTTCGGAGTCTTGTTTCTCTTCCTCAAAACCGATGGCCACGAAGTAGATGAAAAAGGAAAGAATCGTCCCACAGCGGGCAAAGGAGATAGCTCCCCAATCAATAAAAAGAGCTTTGACAATTCTGAATCTTCCCGGTCTTATTTTGTCCAGTACTCGAGTACCTGTTTAGCCAGCGTGACGAACCTAACGGAAGGAATCCTTTTTCTGCGTTTCATATCGATATCGGAAGGGCGGCCTGTTGGTCTCACCCCAGATTTCCGACGTCACCTGTCTGGAAACGCGTCCACCTTCCACGTTTACTTCCTTTCCACACTTCTCACGCGTCACATTTCACGCTATAAACAATGACCTCCTCTCCAGAAGAAGAAGACCTCCCCTCCACCATCCGCATCATCTCCCTCAACTGCTGGGGCCTAAAATTCATCTCCAAATTTCGCCACGAACGCCTCCTCGAAATCGGCCACCAAATCGCCACCGCCTCTCCCCAACCCCAAATCGTCGGACTCCAAGAATGCTGGACTCAAGAAGACTTTCTCGCCATTCAGTCCCAAACTCAACACATCCTCCCATATTCCAAATTCTACTGGTCCGGAATCTTCGGCGGCGGTTTAGCAATTTTATCGCGATGGCCTATTGAAGAAACTTCTATGGTGAGGTATCCTTTAAATGGAAGACCTGCTGCTTTTTGGAGAGGGGATTGGTATGTTGGAAAGGGAGTAGCTTGTGCGAGGGTGAGGTTTGGGAAACATGAAAAGGAGGTGGTGGAGGTTTTTGGAACGCATTTACATGCTCCTTATGAGAAAGAGCCGAATGATAGTTATATTTGTCATCGGACGGCGCAGGCTTGGGAAATTGCGAAGTTGATGCGTCATGCGAGGGAACGGGGACATGTGGTGGTGGGGTTGGGGGATTTTAATATGGTGCCGGGGAGTTTGGCGTGGAGGATTGTGGAGGGGTTTGGTGGCGGGGTTAGGGATGTTTGGAGGGTTGTGTGGCCGGAGAGTTTGGAGGGGAGTGCGGAGCTTGCGGGGAATGGGAGGGTGCCGAGTGCGAAGGAGTGTTTGGATGTTCATGGGGCGACTTGTGATTCTAAGTTTAATACTTGGAGGTGGAGTGAGCAGATGCGGAAGGATTTGCATCGGGGGAAAGAGGTTAAGGAGACGGATCCTGAGGAGGAGGATTTGAAGGCGAAGAGGTTGGATTATATTTTCTTTGCGGATAATGCTGCTCAGACGGGGTATGGATGGGAGATTCAGGACGTGGAAGTTGGGATGAGGATGCGACATCCGACCTTGAAGTGTTCGCTGAGTGATCACTTTTCGATTGAAACGACGTTGGTTCGGAAACAGCAATCCACAACAACGACAACGGCGAAACCGACACCGCTTGTCAAGCACCTCCCTCAAGCAACATACGCTTTGATCCAAGACATGATCGCCTCGTACGACCTCCGGGAACGCAAACAACGCAAATGGCGAATTGCACACTTCTTCGCCTCTTTCTCCATTTCCATCGGCTGTCTCATCGCTGTCTGGTGGTCGCCGCGAAATTACGTCGCTTTCCTCCTCATGCTTCTCAGCACATTAGGTCTCAGCACAGGAGTCATCGATGGACTAATGGGTTTCTTGTTCGTGGGAAGTGAGCTCCGCGCTTTACGTGAATTCAAATACGAGATCGATCTTGCAGCCGAACAAGCGCGAGAGCGAGAGGAGACATCATCAACGAGGGGGGATAGTAATGTCGATGGAGGAGTAAGAACGGAGAGCAGTGCGCAACTTCTAGAGAGTGAAGTCACAGATAGGGAAGAGATACAAAAAGAAACAGGCATCGAGAGGAGACGATAGGCGACAACAAAAATGGAGAGAGAGACATTCAATCGTCATCGTTATATAGATGCAACTAGCTAATTCTATGCAACATGTCCTGATACTATCCTATACTGTCTAATCTTCTTAGTCATTGCAGACAAGTCTGATTGATTAAATAGTCGATATTTCCTGGTTGATAGGGTATTTTCGCAGTTGGGTATCGCAGGGTGCAAGAAACGAGACGTAGAAAGTCGAAATCGTGGTCGTTAAATCATTTCGTCATCATGAGATTTCGTGGTAGTAGCCAAGTGAGAGCAGGCAGATCACAAAAATCTAACATGGCCCACGCGAGTCGAGAATCTCGTTGTGAGCTGCGGATGAGGGCCATAGACTCCTCGAATGCTGTATCGCTTGAGGTTATCGAGGTCATCATCGTCACCATGAGGCCTTCGATAGCCGTTTGGCTTCGTAGTTGTTGTGATGGGCGTTGCAGGCGTCGCATGGACGGGAAGATCGCGAGCCTTCGTGACAGGGGCTTTCCCTTTCGCTGGTCGCTTTGGGTCGGCTAGTCAATCTTTCTCCAGGTTCATGCTCCGAACTTGGATCTCGCTATCTTCCAGTGCGGCGATCCAGAGGCATCGGCTGAGGGCTTCCGGTTCTGGATGGAAAGTGTATCTTGAACTAGCTTCGATCAAGCGCAGGAGATTCTTCACAATCGCGGCTGCCGTTTGATATCTTTCAAAGTTGACAAGTGATTCTTTGCCCGGTGCTGGTGGATCGATGCGAGCCGACTTGAGCGCGTTGAACATCAAGTCATGGGTGTACAGACCGATGAATGGAATGATACCGTTGCCCGGCATGGCTGTTTCCATCTCTGCGCGGAGGTGATGAAAGTTTCGCAGAGGGCGACAGAGCTGTTCGAGCTGCTCCAGCATGTGTTTCTCACGAAGAGCCACAAGAGACCAGGTCATGGTGAGACGGCTGATCTCGTTCGACAGGAGAGCGAGTGTAATTTGGTACAGCGACGCGTAATTCCGGAGGCGATGGCAATGACTTGCAATGTGGATATACTTCGTGATCGCCCTCGCTCGCTCGCTTGGAGCCTCAGTTAGCACGATCTCCGAGATGCACCATTTCACAACCAGGTTGAAGCGTGCAATGACGATGTCGATGCCATTGGACGTCTCCTTGTTGAGATAGTCGACCCAGTTGCGAATCTGAGGCGGACTTTGCTGCCAATTGAGACTGATCAGGTCTTTCCAGTCCACTTCGTCCAGTGCATCCTTCTCAATGATTGTGAGTTGCTCAGCGATGACTTCAGACTCGTAGGCCAGCACGAAAGGGATATGATTCTCATGAGCTGTGGTAGAGTTGTCTTCCACCGAAGGGCTTGGAGTAGTGTGAGCACGGTTAAATGTGTCTCCTGGGCGTCGAGGGAAAGGTTGATTAGAGGCAAGCTCTTGGAGCTTTGGATTGCTGATCTTCTGCTTCAGTGTCTGACCAGGCCGCGCTGGCACAGCTCGAGGCAATAATTGTCTCCTGTCAGGGGACTCAAAGGTGGGCTCTGCAATTGTAGATGGCGGCGTAGCAGCTATGGTCTCTAATGGCCGCGAGGAAAAGTGTCGCCTGTTACTGGTCTCATCGAAGAAATGTCCGTGAACAACAGTGCCATTCTGATATTCGATGTCCGCAATTTCAGTTGAGATATCACTGATACTGCGGTTATCGTCAAGTAGGAACGACCTCTGATGTTCCCAAGGCCCGGGCCTGAAACTTGGGATCGCAGAAGAGGCTACCGAGGGAAGGCGAAATCCTGCGGAATTGGTGTTGATGCTGAGCGGTGACTGTACGTACGCGATAGAATCTGGTGTCGAAGCAGATGTATATGGATCAGTGATTGGATATCGACTGAATCTGGCAGTCGTTGGCACTACTGAATTGGAGGGGCTGGACTCGGTCGTAGCAAGATGTCTGCCCGGCTCCTCACGTGGCTCTGCTTCGAACGCGAATGGAAATCCAGTATTGATTCCAGAGGCATGGAAGATGCTGGCGCCCTGTGTCTCAGTCACCGGCGTGCCCATGTTAGGGTGACTGCTCTGAATAGATGGCGAGATTTTCATCGGAATATCACCATAGACGGGCTTCACGTCGCTGGCAGGTAGCTCTCTTAGTGCTGGAGGGCCTGGACGAGGTGACCTGGAGTCATCCCGCCCCGTTACTGAGGTAGGCTGTGTAGTCGCGGGTTGAGACTTTCTCGATTCGTCTGAAGCTTCAGAAGCGGATCCGGAGCCTGCAAATCCACTCATAGATGGGCTTGGGATCTTGCCTTCTAGTTTCAGCAGGGCATCTTCTATACCTCCAGCACCCTCAAACTCCAAGTCTGGAATTCCTTTCAGCTTTCTGGCCTCTGATTCGAACGAAGGTCTCAACACTGGCTGCGAGGAGTGCGTTGCCAGCAGGACTACCGAATTCTTCTTGAGCTCATCCAGATCTGGAAGGGGAACGCCGCCGTCCTCGGTTGTTCGCTTCGAAGCTGTCAACGCGCGGGAGAAGGTAGTCGCCAGCGAGCCCTCGGATCGTGGTCGGGGCTGAACCATCTCCAGCGACCGAACATGGTTAACATCGCGCAGGTTACCACCAGGTACTCTTCGTAGCTGCTGTGGCAGTGCTTGCAGATCCAGTCCCGATGTCACGATGGATGACTTGCGGGCTTGACCAGAATCAGTGTACATAGCACTGTGACCTTGACGACTGCTATCTTCGGCGCTCCATCTGTCGGAAGAGCTAAGGAGATCATGCATACGAGCATCGGAAGAGCGCCAGTGGTACCCTGGTTCGACAGATGCTGTGCGAGGCGGCCCATGAGGAATGTGTGGCGTGCTCGATGACCTTCTCAAAGTCGCGCGATTGCGGAAAAGAGGTACCGGAACCATCTCCGGAGTCATGCTGTGAAGCGAAGGTAGAGCGCCCGACATCATGGGTAACTCTGGCGCACCAGTGGCATCCACGATGACTATTGATCTGCTTCCATTCGTGACATGTGTGTCTGGACGACTAAAGTCTCTGACCTGGAACGATTTGGCCTGGCCGCTCGATGGCTCACCACTCGACGGTTGAGTAGGTAGCGATTTGTCCTTGGTCGCGGTTTGTGGCCGAGATGTCTGTGAGGCTTTCACTTCTCCCGAGGGTACTTCTGCAGAGGGCACTTCCTGAATGGGAGTCACATCAGTGCGTGCGAACTCGTCCCATGCACCTTGGTACGACTTTTCGATGGCAAGACCGAGCACATCCAACCGCGCCGCTCCCTGCAGTTGTTGCCAATCAGGCGAGCGCCGCTTGTCTGGCCTGTGCCTCTCAGTGCCATCTCGTGAGCCTTGTGAACCCTTAGAGCTCGCACTTCGGGCTGGTGATCTGCTGCTGCTTGTCTTACGAGTGCTGAGCGCACGTTTCACTTCCACAACAAACTTTCTGACCCCAAGATTGTGATTGTGTGCATCGCTGTCCAGATCATTGCCGGGGAATCGCCCTTCGTTTAGTTCTGGTCCAGGCGTGACCGGCACAGTAGTATCCACATTGGGAGGGGATGGCTGGAGCAAAAGCCCGCGCACTAGACCGCCTGTCACGGCAAACGAAGAAAGATCTTTCAGCTCAATCTTATCCGCCTTGGGCGAAGCAGCTAATGGCGTACGCTTGTCACGTAACGCATCTGAGAAGCTGCCGCTCCGTTTGTGCTGCCTCGGTCTCGATGCCTTTCTTGATTTAGGAGGAGCGCCTGCAATTCGCGGCTCCGGCTTTTCCCTAGCTCTTGCCGATGGACGAATGTACCTTAGGAATGGAACCGAACACGAAAGCACTTCGAGGCTCTCCGCGCTTTGGGGTGATGCAGGAATGCTGGCTGTCCGATTTGTCGTTACAGTCGAACGTCGACCAGGCTCGTTGCCGTTCGTCAGCGCCATATGCCGGGGTGGCGGCTGGTCGGGCAGCTGGATGGTGGTCATCTCGAAGATCGAACCGCGATATGTAGTCGGGCGAATCGAGAGCGGGAGGCTGAGCGCGGAAGCCGCAGCTGGGGTCCCGTTTTGCAGGCGAAGGCCACCGGGATAGATGTCTGCGTCTGTAGACGTCTCTAGCGCGTCAGTTGATGACCAGTACAAGGCACACGTTCGTCGCCAGCACTTCTTCAACTCCGAGACGATGTTTATGTCACCGCCGCCCCGATCGGGACGCTGTCGAAGAACTGCGGTGAGCTCATTGACATAGTCACAGAAGTTTTGTCTGAACGGGGCATCGTCCAGGAAGTCATCGGCAAAGTAGTTTAGGATCCAATGACGCAGAGCTACAAAAGTCCTCACTCTCGCAATGCGGCCACCATCGTTGCCGCTGGTCAAGGCCCATCTCAATCTTGCGAACAAGTAGTCCAGCAGCTCTTCTGATTGCATGAAACAGCGAAAGGTCAAGAAAAAGTCCGCCAGAAGCTCATAGTCCAGGAAGTCGGGCGAGGTGATTTGAGCAATCAGACGTGCTGGGGTTGCCGCAACAATTTGTCCTGTTGTAGGATGATAATGAACAAACGCCGGATTGTCCAGATTTGATTCGATCTTGTCGAACGAGGAAGGCGTAATCAGGCCCACTGTCGAAGGCCTGTGGGAGCCGTAGGGATTCCCAGCGATGCTTCCTGAGTATGCATTGGAAGGATGGACATAGAGCTGGCCATTTGATTGAGTTGCGATCAAGCTGAGACCTCGTCCCGGCGGAATTGGGAAGATCTTCTCATACTCTGCTTGAGAAAGCACCGAGGACGGGATTGTTGACGTGGTGTAAATAGAGCTATGCAAGGTCGCTCTTCCCCCATTGCTGAATCGTGGCGTCCCGAGACGATAATGCGGTATGCGCACGCCCAGTTCGCCTCGGTCTGTATCCGCAGAACTTCGACGCCGCCGCCTCGGTCTTTCGTTCTTTTTCGTGGGAAGCTGAAACTCGTGCGCATCCAGCCTGGGCTCTCTTTCATTCACGGTCGAGCAAGAGGCAGACCGGGTCATTCGTCGCTCCTGTAAGCCTTGCAAGGTGATGGGCGGTATTGAGGATCGCGTTTCGAGGTGCGCAGTGGTTCGCGAACGTGAAAGACGAGGAGTCCGGATACCAGAGTAGACGGAGGAGTGGAGTGAGCCATGATCTGCGCGTAGCAGGGGCTGTTCGCCTTGGTCTGCATAGACGTAATATGAATCCCCGCTATCCGCCGTCGCCGGCGGTGTTGCTGGAGCATAGTTCGGATTGGCATGTGCTGCGCGACTGGGCTTCAAGTACAGCACTCCACCAGCGCCCACGTTCACTACAGTGAAATGCTGGGAGTTCTCGTCGTCGTAGACGCTCGACTTGCCCAGCGTCGGCACGGTGTCGCTGCGCTTGTGCGCGCCCTCGAAGAAGCCGTCTTCATTCCTCCGGATTCTTGCCGAGATAGGAGACTTGGGGGATTCGGCGCGTGGTGTGGTAGAGTCGCTCTGCGTCCTAATATGCTGTCGGAGTCGCACCGGTGGCCGGCCAAGCTGGGCGGTGTCCTTCTGGCGCTTTCTCGCGAGCGTGCCTCTGTCCATGATATTGTGAAGCCATTGACTTTTGCGGTGCTCGAGACTCTCTCGAGTCCTTCTGTAGAGGCTCTCCAGCTTGGCTACGTCAGCGCGCCTCGCTCCCTCCACAGCGTCGAGATGGTCATGCACGGTCGAGTCAGTGGTTGTAGGTTTGATTGTCGGGCGTCATCATCATCAGTTTTGGCGGCGACGCGTCCAGCTCTCATCACACCACGATGCTGTTCTGTGGGCACAGGTCATGTCACTGCCGTCAACGCGAATGAGCGACAGTGGGAGACGCGAATACACCGCACGAGGCATCTGGCAGCAGCGTCTGGAGGCATTTCCCGGGCACGGTGCGAGCACGAGTGTAGCTCGCCTAACTTAGCTCTCAGCCATTGTCACCTTGACGCAGGGATCACGGTGCTGCGACCATGACGGACCACTCTTCCGCCGACTCACGCGGCCAATCGTGTGCCCCTCCTCGCTCAGCCATTGACGTGATGCGCACGCACACTGCGCTCTGCTATCGCTGTGCTATGGCCGTCAACACACCCAAGCCTGCCATTCTGTCTGATACCGCGATCTGGTCCTCCAACGCCGGCGCGCACCTGCCCTGCACAGCTGATCTGCTCGGCGAGGCAGTCGTGATTTAGCAGAGGCAGCCACCACCAGATCTGGCAACAGCGTAGGAGGCAAGGGCGAGCTCTGACCTCGGTCACTGGAGCTGCTTTCAGTCCCGTTCAGGCTCCCGTGCATCTACCAGCAATAATTCGGCATCACTGCCTTGGGCGAGCAGATCTACATGTCGTGCGACACAGTCTTCACCCTCAAGTCACAGCTGTGACAGCCTTAAGATACACTTGGGCACGCAAAAGGGTCCGCGATATTGAACTCAGTCTCATATGTCGTGCATATCGGCTGCGGTGCACTTGCCGAGCAAGATCAATCCCGGTGTGGCGCCACGTCTCTGGTTGTTCGCTGCCCAAGCATCCAGACTTCCACCTCGGTCACGCGTCCGTCTTTCTCGTTCCCACCATTAGGGCGCCGTCGAGTATCAGGCACGCAGAGTTGGGTCCAGCTCACCCGACTGAAGGCCTGACGCCCTTACATCGAAACATCACTGTCACGCGACACACTTTCGACAGGCTTTGGTCAAGCACCGCCAGCACATCTGATCAGTGGCACAATAACTTGTTTGCAGGATGCGGAAATAGACACAATGCCCGCCTGTTGCCGTACCGAGCCACGGAAGCTGTCAGGAATGTGAAGCCGCCACCTGTTTCTTGATCAAGCAATATCGCAGATGCGGTAGCGAGACCACCACCGCGCCAGGAGCCACCGAATATAGCAAGTGCTCTCATGAGTGGTCGGGCGACGCGGATTTTGACAGCTGCCTCGCACGTATGATAATGCTGGACTCTTCTCAATCTTGGTTGCCCAAAGGGCCACAATTCCATTCTCGTCCTGCACGACTTTTGAAGAGCAGCATTCGGAACAGCGTCAGGAACCTTCTTTCACGACGACAACGCAGAACGTTAGCGATGCTCAGCCCAACAGTTGGAGAACAGCTTCTGCGAAATGTAACCTCGAGCTAACCAAGAGCACGGCCGACTGTCACAATCACAACTCTCACATACAGGTATTCACATCGAACTCGGTAACAGAGATCACGGCATGAGTATCTGTGGTTTCTCATACCACAAAAGATCTTCGATTATGCTTCTCAGCTCATGCTTCGAGCCACTGCGTAACAAATCTGCTTCAATATGTGAGTATCCCTTCTCCTAGTACAGTTGCTTTGATGCTCAAGAACACAGCGTTTGCCCAGCGATATGCAAAATCCAGGCCCCTTCCTTCCAAACATCCGCATGGCAACGCGATAGCCCGCCCACTCCCTCGCCTCTCTCCACGACAGTCGCGCAGTCCAGCGTTCGCCGTGCTAATTGTACCCGTAGGTTGGTAGGCGTGGTCCACACTTCCCAGCGTATGACACTCCGTTGGGCCATGGCGACCCGCAAGTTCCGCATTTGTATTGTGCGCATGAATCGATCAAGCTGCCCTCAATGCATGTTATATCATAGCATTTGCCCTCAAATAGTTGTCTTTTCTGTAGCGCGCGTCCGTGAGTCGTTGTACTTTGGGAAGGCTAACGATGGGATCGGAGAGGAGTACTTACGAAGATCTCGCTAGGAGGCAACGCAACGGCGAGCTGAAAGAGGCAGAGCATCGCCCAGAATATCGTCGCCATGGATGTCCGCATCTTCGTTTTGCTTTGCTGATTCTTGCAATATGCTCCGAGTTTGTCTGGCTTGCTGGCTTCCTTTTCTGGACGGGAGCAACTCAAAAGAAGAACAAAACAAGCTCGCTCACGGAACTGCTTTGTCCGAAAATGCGACTCCAACACGCGGCCGCGCACTCTCCAACCATGGATGTCTTATATTCCAAGCAAGGTGGCACAGGTGGTGTCTGACGGCAGAGGAACGGCGGCGATCGATAGCGTGGCTGACAGAGCTGGGGTTGAGGCCAGTTCTATGCAGGACCGGCAAGCACAAATCTTGGTCGGCATTTAGCAATCCCTCTGAACGAGGATATACGGTCTTGCCGACTTACCGTTCCCAGCCTGTGTGGCTTATCTTTAGGTCCGGATGCGTTTCAGATGGCTTGAAGATTGGACACGTTCTGGAGCTTGAGCCTTAGGGTTGTTGCTTATATTGTCCGAGCACTTCCTCTTGGTCTGGCTGCGGGATGATAATCACTAGCGAGGATGGTGTGCGGAACGATTACTGAACCTCCCTTTCGGAACTCGCGACGTTTGAAAGATGTAGGTCGATCAAGGTCGTGTTGTTGTTCGTGAACAAGATTTACCAGAAAAGAGGTCTGGAACGCACGGTGGCTTCGACTGTTCTGGGAATCGCGAACTCTGCCTTCATCGTCACCAGCATGATAGCCTTGCGAATGTTGTCCCGCTACCGACAAGCTTCAAGGCCTTAATCAAAACCCCGGCCACAACGCACGTTGTTCTTGCTAGGGCTGGCGAACTCTGACCAGGAAGGCCCTGGTTTCCTCCACGCGGCTGGAAATACATCAACTCAAACTTCACGCTGCACAACGGCATATCGCACAAATGTGTCGCCGACCAAATACTAACACGAGGAAGTTTTCGACTTCAGTAAACAAAAGCTGACAGACAACATACAAGTCCTGCGAAGCTGAGATTTCTTAATCTCATCAATCAATCAATCAACCTCCCCCTTCAAATTCTTCACCCTCTTAACACCACCCTTTCCATCCATCTTATACAACCCATCAACCATCGTCTCCCTCCCCACCTTCCCCTCCACCGGCAACTCATTAACAAAATGCCAATGCATTTTCTCCTTATACCCTTTCGTTTTCCAATCATTAATCGTGCCGCCCTCAGGAAAAAAAGGTAAAACATCCAAAGGTGCAGCATCATGAGCAATTATGACCAAAATATTTGGGTCTGCGTCGATTTCCCAGAGTTTTTGAATCGATTCCATTGCGGTTGCCGGGTCGTCGTACCAGCTTTGGGTTTTGTCGCTGGAGCATTTGTAGAAGGGGGTGGTGCGGGATTGCGTTGGGGAGGGGTGGCAGGCGGTGAAGGTGAGACAGGGGC